TTGCTTGACACATCACTTTACTCGTCAGTGATTGACTTCCGTATGCAGTCACATCCCGCAAAATATAGCTAGATAAATAATTTTAAATGACTTTTGAAAGAATATAGCTTTTGTCATTTTGATTTCTAATGTAACATTGTATAATTCTAAGACATTCTATATACTGTTTCTTAGGAAGAAATTAAATACACGTAAATAAAAATCTTCTTTAAGACTCACTTGAGGTCAGTTATATATATATATATATATGGTCATATTGCACGGTATCACTTATATTGAAAAAATATACTTATCATTAACAATGTTTTTTCTTTTTAATTATATATTATTGCATATTTCTAATATATGTAAAATAGTACCATTTTGACTGATCTTCATTGGATGTGTGAAAAGCATATTCCGTTCAATCGCTGATAGGGTTAATCGTAAGCTCAGTAACAATCGCTGTACCTTACGTGCAGTTTTTTTTATTGAGTGTCTGATTGATTTGCGGATTGATTGATTGGTTTATTAATTAATTGATTGATTGAATGAGTGATGTATTGATTGATTGATTGATAAAGTGATTGATTTGTTGACTGATTGTCTGACAGACTGACTGATCGATCGATCGAGTGATTGATTGTAATGAACGAGATCTGTGTTGTTATATTAAGACTAATATGTTACAAATGGCATCGATAGAGTGCATGATTAATCTTTATATCATTAAATATTGAGTCATGGAGCTCATTTTTCAAATTTTTTCCTTAATAATTTCTAAATGTTCAATTGAAATTGTTAATAATTGTATCTCCTTGATTTAAGGATGTTAATATATGTATAGAGAAAAACAATTTAAAAAACTTCCGCCACTTTATTGTTATATTTGGTATGAGATGAACTTCTGTATAAGTATTTTTTTAAAATAAAGATATAATTATGCGAATGAGGAAATAAAAAATAGATTTTTTTTTAAAACTTAAGCAGGTACTATGAATCATTTTAAAGCAAACGAGAGGTCAAGTGTCCGTCCTAGTTCCCGTTTGTGCCTAAAATAACAAAAGAAATCACGTAAAATGTTGATTTTTAGACAAGAAATATATTTCAAATTAAAATGGTAAAAATAGTTTTTGTTTTCATGATGATTAAATATTGTTGTTGATATATACTTATAGATCTTCATTGCACGCGTCTTTGAATCATGTGCTTATATCTACACATATGAGATAATAACTCACCTTCAATTGATTAAATTAATTAATCTTATTTTGAAATGCCTGCAATCTTCACGGTAATAATTCATAAATGGAGATTTTAAAAGCAGGCAATTGGAAAATACATATTAATACGTACTAATCAAAGCGCTCAAAGCACCGGTGAAGTATTTACTGCTCCGCAATGCACTTAGAAACTGACATTTTCAACGATAATTATCAGATAATAATGAATTTACATAGAAGCTTTAAGCAACTTCTTTTAAAATTGTAATTATTTATTGCTATGGCATTTTAATACGCATCAATCCATACCAATCCATTTTTTATTTCATACATAAATGTTTGTTTTGTTTATCTATGTATAAAAATAGCATCGTCGTTTTTCTTTTGTTCCGAAATGAATTATTACTAAACATTACTGATTGCTAAATTTCCCCTTTTGTTTTTCAATGAAAAGTTGACTTATGATAAATTTAGATATTTAAGTGACATAATGCTTATAAAATATAAAGATACCCATATTAACCATTACATATTCCGATTGATATTTACAATAAATTTTGAACTGTTCGCATTGGCATAATGTTACTAAAATAAAATGATGAAAGTAGAATAATATTTGTTTTTGATAGAAAAACAGGTATCGATATTTTCACAAAATTATTCACGTCATAACAAAGTTGATGTTTTTTATTCATGCACGATGCTTTCAGGAAACATTTTTCTTTGGTTAAACAAAAATAAATAAATGATTATCTCATAAGAGTTAGAGACTTTCAATTCAAGAACGGGAAAGATAGCAATTCAAACATAGGATTAAGGCATTCACATTGTTTTAATATTGTTCGGAAAAAGAAAATGTCCTACCATTAATGTAGAAAATTTAACGAAGTTTGTAATCAGAAAGTGGATGAGCGACAGACCTGAAGTCAATCGATTCCTACTGTATGCGACCACATGTTAATGCTGTATACCGACTATTAAGAGGCTGTAATACCGGTAAGTAGTCGCTTAGAAAACTGTTGCGAAAATGTGCTACCATTTACAATTAATGTCGAAAATTTAACTAAGTAAGTAAACAGAAAGAGGATGAGATACAGACTTGAAATCTAGTCCTTCCTTATGGGACTACATGTTTATGCTGTATACTAAACATCAAGAGGCTGTGATAAGCAGTTGATGTGAAAACTGTTACGAAAATTTACCGTTGGCCAGTAATGTCGAAAACTTAGTTGCTGGGAAAACATATTATTTTTCCTCGCCCGCCCGCACAACGCCCGCCCGCCTGCCGCCCGTATTCACCATACCATAACCTGGGTTTGCACCTGTGCAACCCTGCCAAAAATCGAACAAACTATTAACAGCTCATTGTCACTTGAGCTGTAGCCATAGAACACGAAAAATATTAGTACATTGTACTTAAAATCTAAGCTAGAAAGTTCACTCGTAGACTCAAATGATTATCAGTGAGCACAAAATGTGTAATCGAAAAACTGTAACTCTTCAACATTAAAAAGTATATTTTCCCCTTAAGAACACTGAAATGAAATAACCACCGACAATTGTTTTGAATATAGCCCTCTTATAAACATACTTAAGATATCTCAAGAAGTTACTTGCAAATACGATTGAAGTCTAATTTTTATTAAGTAGACATCGAGAGTGAATTAAACAAACCTTTTGAAAGAAGAAAATATTGGTGGTGGAAATAAAAGGTTTCTTCTTCTTTTTAATAATATGTTCTTAATTTCAAGGAAATAAATACAAAAGACGTTTGATTAAGAAACGATTTTGCTTCGCAATCTAAATAATAATGTGTCATATATTAAAGATGGTAATATTTTCAATGGATAAAATTAATGTTAAAACGAACCACTACTCGATGGTTAGTACCCCCGAGAAAACCCATTTTTATTTTTGTCCGTTTCGGTAGCTTTACCATTTCACATTCACTATTTTCATATGATTTAAACAAATTCGTCGCAGTCATTTTGTAATGACCTATGGTTATTGTAAGAGAGTACGGATGATTGCTTGTTGGCAATATTTAAGATTCTAATGATGATACTGATTCTATCGAAACTTTTTTGTCCCTTTCCGTCAGTCTTCGAAAAGGGCTTCAATCACATTAGTAAAAATACACAAAACGGATACGGTTTTTTGGTCTAACAAACTAAACATGTAAATAAATATACATGAATTGATTTTATGCTTGGAGTTGTTGACTATGTTTATTCCAATATATCTAGTTACAATCCAACAAAATTAAGAAAATTTATAGATATAAAGTAAACAGCACATAGCGGTTGTAAAAACTGAATACACATATGTCTACCGTTTGCCATAGATTCGTATAAGCTCATAGTTCTACAAAAATGGGCATTTTTGAATTAGTTATGATTGGCAGGCACATTTTCAATCATAATTTAACCGAAATAGAGTTTACTTTTCTATGTATGTCAAATACATACATTCATTATATGTTATCAAAAATTACACGATCGGTTCTGTTTACGTCTAAAACCAGGTTGTAGAACTACTTTTAATCCGTATTAAGTCCGGTGTTATTATGAATAATAGCCGATGATGTTCCAATGCGATACTTATTTTCTGTCAGACATATTTTCCGATCATAATATAATTAAAATGCGCTTTTTTATACTATACAGATGACCAATAATGCATTCGTGTTTTCTATCAGAATCATGATAGAAATATGTTGATGTAATAGTAATGACAGTCGAATTGTACATAAAACATACAAAACAATACATGGATGGTGAATAAGTATGCATTTAAAATATAGAGAATACCCGAGAATATCCGAAGAATGCCGGAAAACCGACAAATTAACAATGTTGCCGACTCGGTTGGGTTAAAAAACTTTTCAGATTTATCCTATTTCGGTTGCACAGTAGCCGTATCTGATATGATTTTAAATGAGCCGCTTTATTTACTGCGGAATAACATAATTCATTTTGCGAGTCGTTAATAAAAACACAAGGACATAAAAACATCCATATACACCAGCTTTACACTTCATGACCAATTTTGAATTTCTTGTTTTGTTAAAAAAAATATTACATTGTCTTCAAATAGAAAGACATCAATACTTTAAAAGATAAATTTCTTCACAACGAACTTGTTTCCTAGTTTTTAAAAGTAAACAAATGAATATTTATAAAAATTCAGATGCTTTATGACAGTGCTTTGCAACAGCTCTAAATTTTTGTGAAAATGAGAAACAGTTACCCTTTTGGTGGAGACAACGTGTTTACGCATTATTTAATTTTAGCCAAGTTCCACAATATGAAATCTCGGTAAGCTACAGACAGTTTCACAGCTTTTTATTTGTATACGGAGATAAGAAAACATTGTCTTTCCTATAGAGAAAATGTAAATCAAAACTGTTTTGCGACAAAGCAAGAAATTTTATATTGGTCCTAAAGTGTACAGTTGATGTATGTGAATGCTTTTATGTACTTTTATTTTTATTTACGACTCGCAAAGTAATCGTGTCATTACACAGTCATTTAAAAAAAAAAATCGAATCAACCTTAACAATACAAAACTGATCAGTCCACTGCAGCCATTTTACGCGTGCGTAAAACCTCCCTTGTGTTTCAATTTATAAGAATAATTAAAATGTGAACATTTTAAGTCAAATTTAATTTTTGCTTTATCTTCCGTATTTGAAGAGGCATTATCTCTAAGTAGTATTTGTGTATTTTTTTATTTCTCACTTAACTTGTGTCCATTGTTTATATATATAGTTCCTCCTTTCCGATTAGAAAAACCCTTAAGGTATTTTGTCGTATAATTATGCTGTCATTTCTTCATTTATGACGCGATGTTTTGTTATTGGAACTGATTAGAAAAAATGGATTATATTTGTTTGTTGCTAGGTTTCCTTCTTATTCCACAAACAATCGGTAACTATTATTTGTTATTTTCTTTTTATGTAGAATTTAAAGTCCTTTTGTGTTCTTTAGAGTTTGAAATACTGGAAAGTCGCCAGATAACTCTTTTTTAAATCCAACAAAACGGACTATTTCAACTCTTCATTGTTTTTGTCTTCATAATAACATCAAATATAGTACCTTAGTGTGGCTTACGGCTGATGTAATACTTGTATCATGATGATATGTAAGTTACCATAGAACATAAATTAACCTAAATCAAACGAGCTTTAACAGTTGGTTTTGATCAAGTTCCTTCTAACAAATAACAGATATATCAAATCATAATATTGTGAACCGATATGAAAAAAAATTGTTATGGAACTATTATTAAGAGAAAATAAAGAAAAGGTAGAGCAAAATATCGTCGATTGGGATTATCCTGGTACAACACTTGCGTGACGATATGATGTACAGCATCATTTTCTATGACTTATTGTTTTTCTTTTTAAAAAAGCAATGTATAACAATCAACCTGAAAAGAAAGATACAATTGATTTATAAGCCCATTTTGTTAAAGGGTATAAAGGTATATCTTATAAAAAAGTCTTATCAACAGTAAAATTATATTGGTTTTGTTATTTTATGGTTGATTCCCGAAATAGTTGTAACATAATATGTCTCTGTAATTTAACACAAACATGATCAATGTACATTAACAGAATAAAACGTTGCGGAACAAAATAATACTTTGCTATTTTAAGAAGGGTTTTATCCGTTTAGCAATGATTTTGTGCATGCGCTAATCACTTTAAGGCAATTAATTACCATATTTATTCCATATACGCATTTTGTAAGTATTCTTTTTGTTAATCCAAACAAAAGATTTATGAATCATATATATCTTTATACACTTAAGGAAAATATTTATCAACTTTCTTGGTTGAGAAATAGTCTATTTAATCAGCAGATTCAATGTGCAGTGTTAGGAAAAGCGTTCACATGTTTGCTGATAATTGTAATTTATTTGTCATTGCAAGAAAAATGAAAAGTGTGACGGAGTTTGTAGTGAATAATCATGTTGGTGTATGTAACAGCTTTCTAATGGATATGTTTACCAACACTGATAATTTCATAAAGATTATATTATGTTCTGTTCTGATGCAATTTTTACAAGATTTTGCACCAATTTCTGAAAGAATAGTCTAGAAATATTTTTTTCGGATGGTGTAACAGTCATGTTTGAACATAATAACGTTTTGTGTTTTTTTTTATTTCAAGGACATGCACCGTATTCTTTCGCTTCAACATTTCTGTTGTAATATTCTTAGGTAATGTGAGTTTATTAATTCTATGAAGAAATTTCTTATTCTACCTATGAATGTGTAAACTGTAAGGAACGTCTTCCTTGTAGTTATTATGACTATAAAACAGTTTTATTCTTTTGTTTTGATGTTGTTTTACTTTTTGTTATCTATATCTAAATTTAATAGTGTGCTAGAATGATGCCAAAAGTTCGGTTTTTATGTATTTCTAAATATAATTATATGTAATTCAATTTAAAACGCTACAACATTCTTTTTCATACTATTTTTGTACTGTTTGTTTTATCATTGAATACAATATATTTAATGGCAAGATGTATCACAACTCAATGATCACTTAAAGTTAGAAAATATTACTTCGATACCTTTGTTCTTGTTGCTGTTGTCTTTATGTTGTTTTCGGTATGCTTTTTACATTAGTATTAACACTGGATGAAAAGGAAGAATACAAATAAACCACATGTCAACACCGGATAAATGTGTACAAAATCTTGATATAGATCAACCGGTTTCAAACGTATCTGGTTCTTCATCAGGATAAAATTACAAGACATAAATATATCTAAAGTATAAAAACTTTGTAAGATGGTAATTCAAGTGAATTATTAAAATAGTAACTAAATTAATAAACTTTTTTAAAAATAGATACAGTTTTGGAATGTTGTCAGGAAAGTTATGAAGATGTGCCAAGTGTATTAGTCTTTGTTAAATTGTTGTTTAGAAGTTGCCATATATAGTGTAAACGTTAATGATTAGTTATTCATCCTCGCAGATCGATCATGATGATGAGCTATTACTTCATGGTTTGATGCTGTCTGTTTTTGACATTCTCCTGTTTGTTGTGTTGGGCTTAATGGTAATACTGGTCTGGAAATGTTAAAGTTTAAGTCTCCTATCTTTGGTTGCTTGTGTGTTTTCCTCATTTTTAAGTCTAATAGTCCGGTCTTGCCTTGAACGATTCTAATAGTTGGCTTCTTGAGGACAGTCATCTTTTTGGGACGGTTTTTTGGTGGAGTTGTGGAATTTAAAACTCTTACCTATGAAATGTTCCCTCACGTAGAAAATGAATATTTCTCAATGGCGATTCAATTAGTCTCTCCTTGCTAAAGGTTTCTGAGACCAGTTACATTTAAATTTGTATGTTGTGTGTTCATGTTTTTTCGTTTCTCTTCTTAGGTTTTTTTCTGAATTTACTACTAGTTTGCACGTATTACATATATGGATGTCGTCTATAAAATTCAGCTGTTTTAATTCTTTTCTGTGTGACTTCTTATTTCTTTGTGTATAATGTACTTTTTAAATCAAATTTAATCCGTCTTGTGTTTTTGTGTTGAGCTTCTTTATCCATAGTTTTTCTGTTCGTAAACTTTTGTTGAGATAGCGCTCCGTGTTTTGTATAATCGTAATCGTGATATTCGTGACTTCATGTTCTGTGCCGAAATGGCGCGCAATGGGCTTAAATTTGTTTTTCGCGCGATTATCCGCCATATGACCATAGAGCCTTTCTTTGATAGTGTTGCCGTCTGACCAACGTACTGAATGTTACATTTTGTGCAAGTTATAAAGTATACAATGCTCGGAGTTTAACATGTACAATGACCTTGAATATTAGATATCTCGGATGTTGTTGTGCTTTTAATTTCTACTGAGTTTTTCATAAATTTACAATCAATTCTATTTGCATGCGTAGCTTCCCTGTGTTAGTTTCTTGCAGTTTAAATCTGACTTGATTAATAGATCTCTCATGTTTTCCGTTCGACGATGAACTGCTAGAATTTTGGCACTTTTAATGAATTTGTGGATCTGTTCTCTTGTAGAATTTAAAGGAAGGTATTGAAAATCTTTTGCGCTGGCGGAACGAAAAGGTTGTAAGTGCTGATGAATGGAATGATTTGTTTATCTTGATTCCGTGCTTCTTTGTGCCTAAATAAATTATTTCGATTCATTTACCTAGCTTTGCTAATTGCGTGTTTTATTAGTTTTAGTTTAATCATTTATCAAAACTTTCGTCAGAACTGCAGATACGACGTAACCGCACTGCCTGACTATACTGGATGCTTTTTTCTGGTGTATAGGGTGGTATGATGTATAATGCAAATACATGTGTTTGTCAGTTAGTTTGTGTATAAAGATGTTTGAATTACACCGTTTTCATCTTTAAATACTGTTACATCTAAAACGTGCGATTCCTTATTACTAATTTCATACGTAAATTTGATAGATGGGTGGAAATCGTTGAGATCGGTCAGAAAGTAATACAATTCCTCTAGGCAGTGTGACCAAACAATAAATATATCGTCGATATATTGCCACCATACGAGCGGTTTGATATTATTTTTTTGCTTGCCTAATATTTTTCTTTTAAAAATCCGCCATGATAATCAGTGTCCTGCAATGCCTGTGATACATATATTGTACAGAATTCGGCAAGAGTAAATTGTGTTTTTTAAGGTAGTTTAAAAATGACGCTATCTCTTGTGTGATTTTTGTGGTCATATCCTTGCATATTTTTTGATGAAACAAACTTTGTTTTGGAGTTGGCTTATATCTTCCTGTATTTATGCGGTTTTGTCTAAGATGACCACGGCTCCTCCTTTGTCTGCAGGTTTATGATGATGTCATTGTTATTCTTTAAGGATATGATGGCTTCTCTTTCTTCCATAGTTATATTGGAAACCGTGTTATTTTTCTTGTTGGATTCTAAGAGTTTTAAGTTAGTGCTTGCGATAAATGTATCTAATTCTAAAGATTTGCCCGGTTTAGGGGTCCACCCCGAGCTTTGTTTGAATGGTTTTATTGTGTTTGCTGTATCATTGTTGTCTTGAAAGAAATGAGCTAACCTGAGTCATCAATTAAACAGGAGTATATCGCGTTCATATCCAATTTTCTTTATTTTTAGTGGAATTGGACAGAATTAGAGGCCTTTACATAATATTAAGGTTTCGGGAATCGAGAGCTGATATTTGGAAATGTGTACTCATTTATCTTTTATTGTGTAATAATGTGTTTTTATCAAAAGAAACTTGAGGTCTGAATCTTCGTTTTGTCATAATGTAAAATTATAATTTAGGAGTATTCTTATTGTCTGTAGACAGTGATTAGTTTTTGTTGCATTATTCTTTTGAAACACTTTCGTTAATTTCGGAGATAACATCCTGTATCAATTGGGATACCGCAAAACAGACGCCAGTTCAAACAAAATATCAGTTTCTGAAAATGTGCAGCTATAATCTAGGGTTAACTATAAATGACGACGAAATAGACATAGCCCACAGAATCGGTCCATACAAGGAAAACAATGATAGGCCTATTATTTTCAAATTTGTCCAAAGACAAACAAAAATAGAAATTATTAAATACGCAAAATCATTAAAAAGCACGTGGATGTACATGAACGATAATCTAACCCGCATTAATTAACAAACACTTGTCTCTTCGATTAAAGGACACGCAAAGAATTGATAAAGCATGGACATTTGAAGGAAAGTTATATGCAACATTTAGATCAACAAATCCACTGAAACCATATAATTCAACATCACGCCAAATTCATTTCCATGAGTATGATAGGTGGCTATTTCTCCCATGGCCAGACAGATCTCACAATAATACATCATCAAACTCGTAAATTCAGATCAAATGGAAAAGAAACATATAAACGTTTAAACAAATATAACAATGACTATGATTTTGTTAATTTCCTTCCTA